GTAGTGTTATGAGTAGTTTCTATTACATACAAAAATTGTTTTGTAAAATCTGTAAGAGCAACAGCAATCATCCTAAGAGGCCAAATTCCATTCTCATACAGCAGGTCTTAACTCTTCTTCATTCAGTCCTTTATCAAATTTAGAAATTCTTCCCATCAAACTGTCTGAAAGGATTTTCATAAAAGAACAAATACTGGATGACTGTTCAAGCAGATCCTGGCACATCCTTCCACTGCAGGCAGCATGGCACATAACATCATGCCATGGAAAAGCAATCTTCTCTGCACCAGGTTTCCTTTCTATATCAATTTTCTGAGTGGTCTCATCTCACAGGCAATCAAGTCATACTGGAATTAAATGTTTCTAAACACTGGTGGCCTAGTGAGAAGGATTTGCAATGCCATTACAAAGGCAAGTTGTTCAAATCCACTACGTACTCTGGGGGGGAAAGATGGGCAGTACAGACTCTAAAATCTCCCTGGAGTGTTTCAACGGAGTGAACTTACACTAAACAACAAAGACTTGAGTTTATCTGTAGTTGTGGGTTTTAAAATATTGGTTCACATGCATAATAAGTATACTTTGTGTTTCACACATTCCTTCATTCCCAATGTGTTTTATAAAATGAATCACCTATTATGGTGTGTGAATTAACTTAGTCTCTTAAGAACAAATAATACATAACACCATTATTATAAAAATGGAAGGATAACTAAGAAGATGAGTTGAGTTTTTAGTTGAAAGTTTGGATCTGACTTTATGCTGTGCCCAGGGGCATTTGAGAGTACACAGCAGGCACTACTTACAGGGAGGAAGTGATAGGTCTTCTCGCCATAGAACCCGTTAGCAAGTTTCAGGATGTAGGAGGCATCATGTTTGTTGATTTCAGCATTCAGACACTGAAACTTGGAATGAACTTCCTCAACCTTATCAAGATGAAATGCCTGAAAGAAAGGAAGCATTCTTTCCATGAGTATTTATTTTGAAATTCCAAAGGGATTGTATCTGTGATCCTCGAACTAAAGTAATATGCTTTAATTAAGGTTGCTGATAATTCCCCAATGAGCATTTTCTTAATTTGTCATTGGGTCAAACATTATTGAATGCAAAATTTAAATCTCTATGAAACCTGATTATTTGATGTACAACTATTTTTTTCTTCTTTTCCTCCGAAATATGAATGGCTAATAAATAAACTAAAAAAATAAATGATTGAAATGCCTACTGAAAGTGTGTAAGATATTATTCCAAGAAAAATAAAAATTATATCTGTAATTATTCATACATATGGAGATATATAAATATCTGTAACATTCATTTTCTGGAGGTTAAAATATAAACAAAAAAAATTAACATTTTTACCAATTCTGGAACAAAAACATATTAACTATTGGAATTTTATATTTTATTCAATGATATTAGATCAAGAGTCAGAGAATCAAAGGGATTAATCCATTAGCATTTCTTAAGCTAAAGATATTAAGACACATTTAAGCTTCAAATGACATCCCGTAAGAATGCAGTAGAAATAAAATGTTATGGGCAAAAAATTGAATAATACAGGAAGTATTAAAAGAAGATGGAAGGAGTTCACTGAGTCATTATACCAAAAAGAACTGGCTGATAGAGATTAATTTCTGGAAACAACATACACTCAAGAGAAAATAGTGATAAAGCTGCTCTGAAGGAATTAGCAGAAAACAATGTCCCAATTGATGGAATAGCAATTGACATATTTCAACAAACAAAAGAAACCCTGGATGTGCTTACCAGGCTGTGCCAAGAAATCTGGAGGACAGCTACCTGGTCAACTACTGGAAGAGATCGCTATCTACTCCATTCCAAAAAAAAAAAAATCATGATCCAACAAAGGGTAGAAATTATTGAACAATATCCTTAACATCACATGCAGGCAAAATCTGCTGAATAGTATCTACAAATGACAGCAACAAAACAGCCACCAAGAACTGCCTGAAGTACATGGCACTAAGGACATCATAAGCAATTTCACATGGATTGTGGTTGAAAGCAGAGACTACCAGAGGAATGCCCGTTTGTGCTTCATTGGCAATGCAAAGGAATTTGACCAGATAGATAACAACATATTTTGGCTAATCTTGAGAAGAATGCGGATCACAGAACATGAGATTGTGTTCATGTGAAACCTGTGCTAAGTCAAGGAAGTAGTGGTCAAAACAGTACAAGAAAATACTTCAGGGTTCTAAATCAAGAAAGAAGTGTGTCAGGGATTGATGTATCCTGTCTCTATAATATTGAATCCATATGTGTAATAGAATACTTGGGAGGCTAGACTTTATGAAGAGGAATGTGGCATGATGATTGGAGGAAGAGCTAACGACAACTTGCCATAATTCAAATGACACAACCTTGGTTGCTGAAACAGAGACGATCTAAATAGTTTATAAAGGAAGGTAAAGGATCATAGTCATCAATAGGGACTGGAGCTCAACACACACACACACACACACACACACACACACACACACACACAGAGAGAACAACAACAACAAAAACCCCGAAGATTGTTTCCACTCAGCCCATTGGCAGCCCTGTGATAGATGGAGAAAAGATGAGATTATTAACATTTTCAGCTTTTGGTTACACTTCAGACAGGAAATCAAAAGACCAAATGCATT